CGAAGGCATAAATACAGTTATTTGAGTAAAATATTGGGATAGATACATGTTGTCACTTAGGCAACACTGGAGAGTGAATTCTAAATCTGTAGCCAACATATGCCAGGTCTTGTGGAGCATAGGACTGGGTTTCTCTGTAATCCCCTAACAGTTAGGGCACAATGCAGGACTTCAAGAAATCTTTATTCACGTGACCCTAAGAAGCTTAGGATAGCTTGTCATAGAAATTTAGGAATTATATGAACACAGGACCATATGGCATCATCAGCTGAATGATTTCAGTGTGTGATTTGGTACACCGGAAGGTCATGCTAACAATTTAATTTTTTGTATATATGTATATATTCAGGTGTGTGTGTGTGTGTGTGGGTGGTTGTGTGTGTGTGTCCGTGTGTTTGAAGGTGTACATACATGTATATGTATATGCATGTGTACAGAGGCCATAGGTCTACTTCAAAGGTTGCTCCTTAGGAACTCATTCATAGAAATCTTGGGCTAACTGATTAGGTTAGTCTAGCTGGCCAGTGACCTCAAGGGACCTGCAGATCTCTGCCCCCGCAGGATTAGGGTTACACATAAGGCTTTTTTTTTTTTTTTTTTTGGATCCGAGAGATCCAAGGATGGTCCTCACATTGGCACTACAAGAGCTTTACCAATGGAGCTATTTCCTCAATGTTACATTTTAATTTTGGTGAGTAAGGAGAGCCAACCAAATCAAAAATCCAGGAAGGGATTTTTACTCAGGGTCAGTCAGGAGAGAGAGTAAAAAAAAATACCCACCCAATAATTAAAAAATGAAACAGAAGTGACTGACTAAATCAGAGCCCTTTACAAGAGAAGCTGTGTGAATATTTCTGTAATCTGGCTCAGACTTAGATAAAGGATGCATGTGATCTTGGGGGAGAGGGGCAATCTGAAATTCACAACGGAATGGCCAGAAGCAAGCCAGCCTTCTTTCTCATCCCAAATCCTAGAACCATGCCTGCTTTGTGACTGCGTTTACTCTGACTCCCCTATGTCTGCTCAGTTCCTCACCTGGAAGGGCCAGGCCTCCCAGGGTCCCCTGCTCATTTGGGCCACAGGTCCACTTCTCGCAGCACTCCCCAGGCACTGCAACTTTCCTGGGAGCTGGGCAGTCGGGACCAGGCAGCAGCACGTCCAGCTGGCAGCGGGGCACGCAGCCAATCTGCCCATCTCTGCAGGCGCAGCGGTACTGACAGTTTGGTTCAAACTTCTCTCCGCTGCGGTAAATGACTCCGTCGAACACACAGTTGTCTCCCTCTAGAACTGGAATATTCAGGAAGGAAGGAAGGCAGAGGGAAGAGGAGAGAGAGAGAAAAACAATCAAAGCACAGATTAACTGGAAAGCTGTGTGAGATTGGAAGGACACGGTCAGAAGTGAGGGGCTTATACATCTCAAGGAGAAACAGGTCCCTGTAGATGCTTCCAGAACAAGGAGAAGGCACCAATCCCACCTGGGCCTTTTTTCTTCACCTAGTTCTTATAAACGAGCAAAGAGATGGACTCTGGACACTGCCAATATACACGTTCTGGCTAACTAATGGCTTCTATCACGTCTCCACTTCTTTCTCAAATCTCCTATCCCGGAATGATTTCATTTCTATGCTAGAGCAAAGGTACAAATGGTGGTGTCACACTCCAGTGACCCTATCTCCAAAGAAAAGAGCATTTCCCCCAAACAGTCTTCAATTCTTCTTCTACAATAGTTTAGGATTTAAAACCAAATAGTTTTACTGAGCAGCTCTGAAAGGGCATTAAGAATTCTTGGGAGGGAAAAAAAGAGAAGAAGGCTTGCTTCAAGCTCTTACCAAGGGAGGTAGGGGCCATTCTGATTACAGCAGTGTTGATCTCCCATTGATTAATTTTCATGAGCCTGCCTTGGCTAGTTGCCTGCATTTGATTTTACTGCAACCCTGACAGGAGTGACATAGTCCTCCCAGGAGACAGAAATTCCTTTGGCTCAAGTAGGACAATCAGATGTATGAAAACAAGCGTGCCGGGCTGCAGTCAGGGGGAACTGGAGGCCTGTGAGCAAGCCCATACGTCCAACACATCATCCTAAGCGTTCCCCTGAAAGTGGCGAAATGAAATGGTTTCACTGACCCTTAAACTCCGCTTTTGTCCCCTGTCTAGGCGGCAAGTGATGTACCTGCTCTGAGCATGTTTCCTTTCAGTCTGACGCCTGATACCCAGTAAGCTCTCCACATAGTACTGTACTGTACTATTGCTACAAATGTTTTCGCTCAGTTCTCTCCAAGAAAGGGAAGAAGACGGCTAAGGGAGGAAGGGAGGGAACAGTTTCACCTAGCTGCCCCAGGAGAGGTCAGGCCAGGGAGGGGAGTGCTGGCGGGGCGGCCAGGGACAGGGTTACCCATGCATATGCCAGTCTGGTTGCTGGGGTCTGCGCTGCGGTCACAGTAGAGGCCGCTGCTCTGGTCGCAGGGCTTGAGCTCGGAGCAGCTCTCTCCGCGCTGGCGAGCGCACACCAGACAGCAGGAGCAGCCGTCCAGCACGGAGCGCACCCCGGGGGCGCAGGTCGGCGGCGTAGTGGGGCACTGGAGCGGGCACGAGGACGGGCAGCGCTGAGTTGCAGACACCTAGGAAGAGAAGCAGGACAAGAAAAGGAGCCCTGCTTATCAGGGACAACGTAAGGCAGAATGAGCCAAGGACCGATTAGGGTTAGCCTAGAAGGGGGCATCTTAA